TGAATTAAATCTAATATATTTAAATTTGAATCTAATTCGAAATTTTATAAAATTTATATTCGTTAAATTATATCTATTTTCAACGGACAATCCGAAATCTGATAAAAAAATAATCTTATTTTATATTTAAATTCCTCAATTTTATTTTATCAATCATATTAATTTTTAAACTTTTTGATTTACTTAATTTAATTCTTATAACTTTAATTTATTAAGATCACGTATATAAAATTATTAATTTAATTTAAAAATATTATTAAAATTCAGATTCAGATATTTAATGAATTATATTATTTAATTTTATATCCGATCCACTTATTTCAAATTACGAATATTTATAATCGGATCTAATTTATTAAATATTTTAATCAAATTTAAATTTTAAATTTTGAACCAAAGTTAGATTAAAATTTCACACGTTGAGAAGCTACATGGTTGGAGAGATTGGACTTTGCTGTATATTACTACCTGGATGCGGACCCTTATTATTTGTTGTGCAAGGATTAAGAAATTGTTTATATTTAATTAATCCCAACTTGAAAATTAAAATTTGATGACATATAGTTTTTGGAAATAGTAGACATTTTGGGATTCCTTTTTCCTCAAATCGATGCTTGAAGAGATGCTTATTCCTGTCCAATATATAGCAATACTTGGAGAATATTTAAGCGAAGCCAGTAAATGATTTGCCGTTGATCTTTTTGTTTGGCGCCAAACGAGGAGCAATGCTCGGCCTTGTAACTAAAAACAATTTAACTAAAATTGTAAACCGCTCATATTTTGATCAAAATAGAAATATATGAATTTAAATATGAATCTAATTAATTATTATTATATCTGAATTTGATCTAAAATTTTATAAAATTTATGTTTTTTAAATAATATCTGAATCTTGTGGATAATTCAAAATCTAATAAGAAAATCCGATCTGATAAAAAAATAATCATCTTTTACATTTAAATCTTTCAACTCTATTTTGTTAATCATATTAGTTTTTGAATTTTTGATTTTCTTAATTCAGTTCCTATAACTTTGAATTTATAATATCACATTATAAAATTATTAATTTAATTAAAAAATATTATTAAAATTCAGAATTTGGATCATTAATAGGTTGGATTGCATAATTCTATATCCAATCCACTTATTTCTTATTATAAATATTTATAATTACATCTAATCTATCAAATATTTTAATTGGATTCGAATATTAAATTTTGGATCGAATTCAGATCAAATTTATATTAAAATCTAACTCATTAACAGCCCTAAGTTTAAGAACTCACTTGGATAATCTTTGATGATGTTTAATTTTGTTATAATACATAGTTGGAAAGATTGAGATTGGACTTGCTATATCTTGGTACATGGATGCGGACCCTTATTGTTTTTTGTGCAAGGAGTAAGAAATTGTTTATATTTAATTAAACCAACTTGAAAATTTAAATTTTATAACATATAATCTTTGGAAACAGTGGAATTTTTGGGATTTCTTATTCCTCAAATCGATGCTTGAAGAGAAACTGATTGCTAGTCAATAACGATACATGGAGAATATTTAAGCCGAAGTCAGTAAATGATTTGTTATAATATATTGAAGAGATGCTTATTTCTATCCAATAACGATACATGGAGAATATTTTAGCCAAGTTAGTAAATGATTTGTCGTTCATCTTTTTGTCTGGAGCCAAACGAGGACCAATGCTCGGCCTTGTAACCAAAAACAACGCAAGAGTTGGAAAAGTTTCGACTTCCTAAGTTTGAGATTACCAAAGAGCCAATTGAACGCTAAGGAGCATTTGCTAAGAAAAAATCTTAAAATTGAGATAAATTTTTATATAAGGTAATACTTTAGCAAAAATAAAATTTTAGAAATCTTTTTACTTAGAGAAAATCATGAATTAAAAAAATTTGTAATTGGAGATTTAAAAACTAATAAATCTTTAATATTCAAAATTTTTAAAGTTTTTCAAAATTATCAAATATTCTAAAAAACAGTTCAAGAATTTAAACAACTTCAAGATTCTAAAAATTTAAAATCCAAAATTATGAAGTGTACTCCAACATTCCCTGTTACCAAACAAAGTCTTATTGCCCTAGTCAAAAGAATAAAAGAGTGTATATTAAAAAGTTTAGAAAAATAGCACTTTATTCCCAGAACATTTAAGTTCTAGCACTTTTCTCTCTGCAAGTGTATAGAATTATTATTAATATTAATTTATAATTATTATAATTAATTTATAGCATTATAATTATTATCCGATAACACTATACATTACAATTTAATTTACATAATAAATTATGATTTCTTATTTGTACAAATTATTATTATTTTAAATCTTATAAAATATGATTTATTGAATTATTAGCTATAATTTAAAATCCCAATTTAATTTAAATAATTAAGTAGAAATTTTACAAGGCCTAGGCTCGGACAAAGTCTAATGAACTTGAAGTTTACAAAATTTGACCAAACAAGGAGTAAATTAGGCCTTTACTAGCTTTGACCCATTAACGATCTTATTATGAGTTTGAGCTTTTGTTATATTATCAAATTTAATTTTTAAAAAATATAAAATAAATATAAATTTAAGATAAATTACATTCAATTAAATAGCATCATAAGTTATTTATAATAAAGTTAGAATTTATAATTTATTCATTAATTATTATTCAATTATTATTATTAATTTAAATTAGTATAATCAATTTATGGAATTATAGTTATTATATAAGAAAGTTATAAATTAAGATTTATTCATTAATTATTACATAATAATTATTATTAATTTCTAATTATTGTAATAAAATTCTATAATTATATGTTATTATAAAATAAAATTATATATTATGATTTATAGTGTTAGTAGTTGTAATTAACAATCCCAATTTAATAAAATAAAATGGGCTTGAATTTTGTAACTTCTTGGTGCAAACAAAACCCAATAGACTAAAGTTTTACAGCAATTTTGTCCAACAATAAGAGATTGGACTAGGCCTTTGGATTAATTTATACTTTGAAATTTCAAATTTTGAAAAATTTAGAAAAAAATAAATATAAATTTCTATTAATAAGAACAAAATTGAAAACTTATTTTTGACAGAGTTTTCTGTCAGTAACATATTATATAAAAATTTATTTTATATTTTATTTTTCTGACAAAATTATTCTATTGAAATAATTTTAATTCAAAAGTTATTTTTTTTTATTTTACTGACGGAACTGTCCTTGGGAGAATTTATTTTTTAAAAATATTCTAATATTTCCATTTCCAATGTAATTTTTCCATTGGAAGAAGTTATATTTTCTAAAATATTTTAATGTTGGAAATTCTGACAAATGGGTTCCGTCAGAAATGTTTAAATTTTTTTAATTTTTTGGTATTTTTAAATGAGTTTTTCTGTCAGAAATCTAAATTTTAAATATATAAATTTTTTTCTGTCAAAAAGTTTTCAAAATAATATTAGATTAAGTTTCCAACGGCTTTATTGTGCATCAAAATATTTTGAACATAAACAGAAAAATTTGAAATTTCTTTCCGAGGAGCGTGTCCGTCAAAATTTTATCAGAAAATACTTTTCCAAACGGATTTTCTTATTCTCCGTCAACTTGTCCGTCAGAAAACATTTTTTAACAAAGATTCCAATGGAAAGACTATAGGAAACCGGTCAATTTTTCTGTCCATCGAAATTCAACTATTTTCTTTTAGTGAATGCGCACAATATATGGTGAGATGTAAGAGCTCAGAAACATTTACTGAGAATTTTTAACATGTATTGCACCACGTTTTTAACTCAATAAATGGACTTGAAATTGAATGAAGTGGAATTTATTCCCCATTTTGGACAATGATGTATCATCATAAAGTAAACAATGTGTAAAATATGGATTGTGAGACGTGGAATATAACAACCCGAAAACTACTAATCTGAATAGCTTATTGAGCCTAAATTAATAGTTTAAAAATATTTAAACCTAAATTATTTAGTAATAGTCTAAAATTTCTTATATATCATATCAGATTACTCTAAATAATTGACGTAGAACGAGATGTCACAATCTCTCTCACTTAAATATTTGACGCTCTTGTCAAGTTTGAAATCTGTATTTGTATTCAAACAAAATAGGTCTGAAAATTATTTTGCTCTGATACCATTTGTAACGATCTGAGAGCTATTGGGTTGAATAACTTGTTGAACCTGAATCACTGACCCAAAATGTTTAAATCTAAGTTATTTAATAGTAGTCTTAAGTTTTTTATATACCATATCAGATTAATCTCAAAAACCAACGTGGGACAAGATGTCACAATCCCCTCACTTAAACACTTGACATTCTCTTTAAGTCTAAAATTTGTATTTGTATCCAAATAGAACAAGTTCGAAAATCATTTTGTTCTCATTCTATTTATAACGACCCGAGAACTACTATTTATTGAGCCTGAACCACTAGCCCAAAATGTTTAAACTCAATTTTTTTAATAATAATTTTAAGTTTCTTATATCCCGTATTAGATTACTTTCAGAAATCGATGTGGGACGAGATATCACATGAAATTGAGAGAAAGAGAGGGGGAGAGAGAGAAGGGAGAGAGAGGTGGGGGAGGGTTTGATCAGAATGTGTATTAGGCCACATTTTCAAACCAACAAAATGGACTTGGAGAGGAATTTACACATTAAATGCATTTTCTTTAATTTAGTTCAGCTTTTTTTTTGGGGTAATAATTTGAGATAGGAATAATTTAGATTATTTTTATGGAGAAATATTTTAAGAAATTGTGTTTGAATGAGCTTAACACTTAAGAACCTGTGCATTGTTGTCTTTAATTTTAATAATTTTTTTATTACTTAGTATTGAGAGTGCTTAATACATGTCTAATGTGTATTAAACAAAATGCGTCGCAACCTAAATTCAAAACGTTAGACATGCATTAAAAAAGCTCTCATATTTGCGTTAAGATTTCAAAATCAACTCAGTCAAAAACAAAGCTGATTAATACTCAATAACCTAGAAAGATTCCCACATTAAATTAGATACAGACTCGGTAATCTCCATGCAATTAGGTTTAGTCTATTTCCTTTGGCACCAAACTCTAGACAATTGGCTATTGGGCTCCAAAATTTTGTATTTTTAAATTTTGGATAAAGGTGGGATTTTCTTGTTTGATGAAGCTATAGAGACTAAATCAAGGGATTTTCCGAAAACTAGAAGTGAAAATTTTGCCGGAAGTGCTACAACCCATGGTTATATTTTCACAAAAAGCAACTAACTGTGGTGTTTGCAAACACTTTTATAACTTGGGAAATTATTATTTGAAGTAAAAGTGAGTAGAAATAAATCAAAAGCAAAAACTAGATGTGCTTTAAGAATTGGAAAAACCATGAAATAGTGTAACTTGTGTAATTTTAGATTTAAATCTGAAAAAATTAATTTTTTTTTGGATAGAAACTGTGAAGATAATTTTGAATTTAAAAAAAATTAGGAATAAAAATGTTCAAAAACATAATTTTTATATAATTATAATAATATCACTCATATTATCTGTTTAAATAAAAAGAAGTAAAAGTTACAAGTGAATTTCTAAACATTAAAAACGTACTTCCTTGAATTGAAAAGTTGAAGAGTAATTCTGAGTTAACTGTTGCAAACACCACTTAAGACAATTTAGCATTAGCTTTTCCTGCCACCATTAGCCTAATGTCGTCCACCAAACGGTTGAAATCACAGAACGATGGCCCTTCTTCATCAACACTTGCCCTCGCCAGCATCGCCATCCGATCAGCTGACTTCTTGAACTCGTTTCTCCTCTCTTCCATTACATGTCTTACCATTTTCTCCACAGTGGCCCGATCACACCTGTCTTGCATGTCCATCCCAAGCCGCCACACCTCCCCCACAAACCTACTGTTAACCAGTTGGTCGATGTGGTAAGCCCAGCAAACCATGGGAAGCCCCTCCACAATGCTCTCTATGGTTGAGTTCCATCCACTGTGCGTCAAAAACCCGCCAATGGCTGGGTGGGCCAACACCTCCTCCTGGGGAGCCCAACTCACCATGCACCCTCTCTCTTTTGTAGCCTCCAACAGCACACTTGGCACCTGCGTTGGAGAAAATTGGAGAAATTGAGGCAACCGATCAAATTACACTTTTCACCCGTTTAGTTTCTCCTAATTACATTCTGGCTTCTGTAGTTTTAATTGCACGATATTTAGTTTTGAAATTTCAAAAATATTTTAAATTGAAGACAACAGTTGAAGTCTTTTAACTTTCTTGACGATAATTTGCAATATTTGTACGCAAAAATCACAATTTCTAGAACACAAGGGTACGATATGTCTCCAAAATGGGTAAAAAATAAAAAAATAAAAAACAAAAATTATTTGTTAGATTGCAAAATCAAAATTTAGGAAAAAGTTGGGGATTTTTATATAAATAATTTTAAAAAATTTTTTTATAAGAACTAACCAAAGTACTTAATAATCGTCCTTATTTGACATGTTTTAAAATTTTAAAATTAAAAATATATTGCTATTAAAAATATAGGGACCAAAAACCAATTGGCTCAAACTAGCTAGATTAAAAGTGTAATTTGTCCTAAAATTAATATTTAATAACCTGATCCTCCCCGCCTCCGCTTACAATGGAGTTTGGGCGTCTGACCCACAGGAACCGCTTCCCGCTATTCACCAACCATGCCAGAGCTCCATGACCTCGTCATTCGTCATCATCGAAACGCTTCCAATGCTCACGTAGATCACTGATTCTTCCGGTTGTGCGTCGAGCCAAGCCATGCAGCTTCGGTCTTCTTTCCAGACGCTGTTGGACGACTGGGACGCTCCAGCGTGTCTGGCCTTGAGGTGACGGTGGAGTGGACCGACGGCATAAGTGTTTGGAGAGAGAGAACGTAGATTGGAGAGAGTGGGGCCGTCAAGCTCCTCAAAGGTGTTGAGTATGAGTCCTTGAGATCGCCGGATTTTCCGGATCTCGGTGGAGACTACATTGTAGTGTGGATCGTAGAGGTCGGCGGCACGGCAGAAGTGTGGAAGGTCACGGCGCCGGAGAATGCCTTCCATGCCTGCCACATTTGTTACGAGTTCATCCATGTTGTTTCCTGCGGAAAGTGAATCCAATTCGGAGGGTGAAGAAGTTCATTAATCAAACATCTTTTCTATGAATTCAAAAGATAAAAACCTTCTTACCAACAGTCTTATTTTTTATATTGGAAAGTGTATGGACAACAAAAAGAATGAAATGAATATAAACATCTCATTCTCACCTCTGAAAGGAAGCTCCCCTGCTTCAATGAGCCTGGGAATACAAGCATAAACCCACAGGCAAATCGGGCTGATGGTATCAAAACAAAATACAGGAACTCCCACCTCTTCACACACATCTAAAGGAAAACCCATTACCAGTTCTGCTATTACACACGTGAATCCTCCAGAAACCAGCAACTCCCTAAAATGAGGCTTCGTCGCCGCCTCCAAAGACTCGAACATCTCCATGATTCGGGGGCCACATCGCGGGTGGTCCTCGGGGAGGCCATCGGAAATGGTTGCAAAACGGAGAGAAGGATACTGTTCTAAACGGGCCGCCATGTCAGAGAAGCGGATGAGGCGACGGTGGTTGTGGTGGGTGTTGAGGAAGGTGACACGCAGGCCGGCGAGGCAGAGGAGCTCAGCAAGTTTGAGCATGGAGTTGACGGGGCCTTGGAGGGGTAAGGGGAAGATGAGGACGTGGGGAGAGGGGAGCCTTTCTTGATCCATCGCTTGATACCTTCTGGGAAGTCGTTGGGTTTAGCTCTGCTTTCACAACAATGCCAGTTGTTGGTTTCCCTGGAGCTGGAAACAGATATATAGAAGCAGCGTTAAGGTCAACGCCATGATTTTTGTTCTTAAGAATTTCATACTATTTAAATATATATTCGACGGGTTGTTAGATTTATTGCTTATTCACTTTTTATTTAATATGTAATGATAATTGTCATATATAAATACTGATTTTTATTAGCAAATAGTGAGTATATTTTATTAATTATACAATTAAATTAAAATTTTTATTATAAATTATTTTTATTAATAAGTTTTGTAAAAATTAAATTACAAAATTATATTGAATACGCCATGAAAGTGCCCAAAGTTGTAACGACCCGAGATTACTGACCCTATCAACTTGTTGAGTCTGAACCACTGGCCTAAAATGCTTAACTCCAAGTTGTTCAATAGTAGTCTCTAGTCTCTTATATATCCAGCATCTCTCCCATGTTTTGTCGATGTGAGATTTGCCTAAGGGTGTCACACACACACAACCCCCTTTGGGGTGTCACACATACACTCCCCTCTTTTGGGACTCAACGAGGACTCGCTCTCTCGGGGTGTCACATATACCCCCCTTTTAGGACTCAGCATCCTCGCTGAGGTTTTCCCCACCACCATTCAAGGTTGCATGCAGAAATCTGGTTCAGTATGGTTTTGATCGGTTCAAGATTTTAAAATTTCTGAAATAGATTAAAACATGAAAATTAAGAAAAATGGTTGGATTTTTAGAATAATCTGGTTTTTTTATTTATTTTGAGAAATATTATGTTCTAAGATAAACATTTTGATTATTTTAGATTAATTGGTTGAATTTCGAGGAGCCGAACCGTTGAAGCTCGATTTTCGTGATTCTTGGTTTCTGTGAGTAATATTATATATTTATATGTTTAAAATGCTGTTTTACTTATTTAAATTTCCTGTTTTTATATAATTTGAAAATTTATTTCAGTTATTATCCAATGGAACTTAAATTTTTTAGAAAAGTTACGAGGGACGTATATGTCATTTTTGATTTGTTAGAAAAACTTCTGAATTTCTGACTTCATGTACTGATACATGTTTAAGACTTTGAAAATTTGAAACTTTCTCTGTTAAACTCTGATAAATGATTTTAAACGAGTATCGTACTGTTAGAACACTGTAACTAACGGCAGTAGGCGTTAGACTGGGTATACCCTGGCCTGTATCCTCAGCTAGCAGGGGTGGTGCTAGACTATCACGTGTGGCTGACGTGGTAGGCCTGTTTATTGATTACCGGCAGACTTTGAGTCGCCGTCCTGATATCTGTATATCGGCATACTATGAGATGCCGTCCTGTTTTTGTTCAGTTCTCGGTGTCAAACTCCCTAACCTGTAAAATTGTGAAAACTGTATTTTTATGCTAAAATACCTGATATATGTCTCTCGTCATATAAATATGTACTATTATTCACTGGGTCAATAGACTCATCCTTTATTTTTCCAGACTCAAGTTTTGCGAGCCCGACAGATCCTGCTCAGTGATAGTAGTTCGCCGATTTCGATTTCGATTTCGTGCTTCCAGCAGATCTAATTTCTGAGTATCGCAGTCAGTCATTTTTTTTCTAGTATGTATTTTGTTTTAGTTAGCTCTGAGATCACAGACAGGGGTTCAGATGTTAATAAGTGTATTGGGCTTTTGATCATTTGTATCAGACTTTGATTACTGAATTATGTTAAGTTTTATTTGGTTCTGTTATAATTCAGATTTTCTGAGGCTTGCGGGGTTGGGATTATCCTAACTCTAGCGCCGGTCACGGACTCGACGACCGGGTCATGACAAAGTTGGTATCAAAGCTTTAGGTTATCTATGATCATGGGAGCAACGTGTTTCTGTAGCGTCTCGCTTATGATTATGAGTCGGCCATTTTCATAATCAAGGGGCTATAGACGGACGATTAGGAGTTAATCTGATTCTGAGTGTTCCTTTAATCTTGTCCTTATTCTGACTCCTTATTCTGAAATTTGGTATTATGAAATCTTTAAATAGACGGACACATCGTTCAATAACACGATTTTTGACTCTGACCATGAACATTCAGTTATTCCCGATACATCCCAAGACAGATTGCTTACTCCTGAGATACGGTTGGAGGCACAGTCTTCCGTACCCGCTAGAGGACGGGGCTGGCCGAGAGGCAGAGGAAGAGGTTAGGGAAGGACGACCGGTAGGGTAGGTCAGGTAGAGCCAAAGAGGGAGGCTCAGCCTGTTGACAGTTCTGATAGAGTGGTCCAAATTATCCAGGGTATGCAGCAGACAATGATGGCGAGCATGACTAGGTTACAGCAGACCCTAGTTAATTTGGTGGAGAGGTTGGCAGACTAGGGGAGGACCGGTACTCAGAATAATGCCAATCAAGGAGCACCAAAGGTAGGTACGAGTTCAAGCCCGAGGACTAGAGAGGCTCCACTAGTGACTGAGCAGGAGCCGGCACAGAGGAGATAGCAGGTCCTAGCAACAGTTGAGGTTACTCAGACAGTGGAGAGGCAATCCCAAGTTAGCCTCGATAGTCAAGTTCAAGATTTCCTCCGATTTAAGCCACCGACTTTTTCTGGGAGAGGGAGCACAGAAGATCCACAGCACTTCATCCATCAGATAGAGATTATTTTCGAGGTTATGAGGTGCTCCAGTGTTAAGAGTGTAGAGTTGGCTGCTTGCAGACTACATGATTTAGCACGGTCTTGGTACAAGACCACGGTATCTAAGAGACCGCGAGGGACGGCACCGATGACATGGGAGGAGTTTGTTACTGTGTTCATGGATCAGTTCCTCTCAATTAATAAGAAAGACCAGTTGGCGACAGAATTTGAATGTCTTTGACAGACCGCGAGTATGACAGTTCTAGAGTGTGACGCTCAGTTTAACCATTTGTCTAGATATGCCCCACATATGGTGATTGACGAACTTGTTAAGGTGAAAAGGTTCATTCGGGGATTAGTAGAACCTCTGTTCCGAGTTTTAGCCCCACACATGGAAGGTATACGTACGCCGAAGCTGTGGATGCAACTCAAGCGATAGAAGCTAGGGGTTTTGAGCAGAGAGCTCTTAAGGAAACTAGGAAAAAGGTTAAGCACTCAGAATCTTTTAGTAGTGGTCAAACTAGTTTTCAGAGTCAGCAACACACCGTTCAGACTGGACCACCACACTCTGGTTAGTTGTTTAGGGATGTATTAGCATCAGCGGCCGAAATAAGAAGCATGGGACAGTTGGAGCAATATAGTTCAATCCCACTTAGCCAGGAAGCCCCGACTTGTCGTACCTGTGAACGTAAGCATTGGGGGCGATGTTACAGAGAGACTGGTGCTTGTTATCGATGTAGTGATTTGGGATACAAGATTAGAGACTGTCCACTGATGCAGAATGATGATACTCACGCAGTCAATCAATTCGGTAGAGCAGCTACATCAGTTCCTGAGCAGTCAGATTGAGGGCAAGAACGAGATTATGGTGGTCAGCACCGCGGCCAAACCGCTAGGGGTCAGGCGCGAGTGTATGCTTTGACTAGACAAGATGATTAGGAGGCTATCATGGGGGCGACAGGTATGAAAAATCGTGTGCCTTGTTATGTGTAAATTATTGTGTGAATCCGAGTCAGTTTACTTGTGTATTTCAATACTGTGAGACATTATTCGATAAGAAATTCTTTTTGTAACCACCATTGTAAGGGAGAATGCCTAGGTTAGATGAGCATAAGTCTTGTTTGATTAAAGTAAATGATAGAGATACATCATTAGTGGTTTTGTGAACTTGAATGAAAGTTTTGGATATGCATTTTGGTAATAATTGGAGTACCCACTCCCCATAGATCAATTTGGTTAGGCGAATTTCTGGATGGCAGATTTTGAGGTATTAAATGGAAAGAGTTGTAAACCTTTGATAAGATGATTTGAGATAGGAAAAGTTAAAATTCTAGAACTAGACTTAGTACAAGATACAGTGGATGAGGCACAATTGACTAAACAGCAAATCTTAGTTGGTTAAAGCTAGTGAAAAATTATGTTGATAAATGCCATCAGAAGTATGGAATTGTAATGGGTGATTGGCATTCTTAAGAGTTTCATCCTTAAAAGAGTGTTATCAAATTTGGGGAAAAAAAAAACTTAGTCTTCGAGACTCATTCGAGATGATGGATTAGATTGGTATAGTGATTTATCGATATCTGAGTGCATCTTGTATTCCATGTAACTGTGATTCAAATTAGTTACCAGATTTGTTATATGTTTTAGAAATCACATCTGTGGAAATCTTATTGAGGCGTCACTCAAAAGAGAGAGTGAAATGGGAGTCGGAGGACCTGTAATTGTTTGAGACATAAGATTAGTCAGTATTCTGATATGTAAATTCGAGGACGAATTTCTTTTAAGGGGGAAGATTGTAAAACCTCAATTTTGGGGAAATTAAAAGTTATTTAAAAAGTTAGAGTCAAATTGAAAGAATCAGTGAAATTAAGGGTCTAATTGAAAAATGAAGATGCTTAATTGAATGATTAAAATTGTGAGGGGTCTAAATATAAGTATTAAAGTGTGCCAGGGACCATATTGCATGAGAAAAAAAAATTTTTTGAGGGCTGAATTGCAAAGTCTAGCAAATTAATCCAGAAACCGTTGGACTCCAGAAACTATCGGACTGTTCAAATTTATTTATTTTTTAATGTATTCAATTCAATGAATTAAAAGAAAAGTTAATCAGAACATGTGTTATAAGGGGATGCGATCAAGAACCTCAAAATCATATTTTTAAATTAGCTCAAAAAGGTTGTGAATTTTAATTGGATTCCTATGTTGGTTCATTCGCCGTGAATGTACAGTTCAAGATTCATTTTACAAGTTGCAGTCAATTGTGAGCCAATTAAGGCCATCTACAGCCATCGATTTGATATTTCGAGCAACTTGGAGGAATTTATGTGAAAGAAAATCGATCAAATCCGAGG